TTTCAATTTTTTATAAAAATTTTAATTGGACATGCAAATCATATGACAAATGATCTACATCGGACTCTATCCTTAAACTGTTAAAATATTTAATAAACTTTAATATAATAATATTTTAAAATAAAAATAATTGTCATATTAAATAGCTCTTTCTAATAATTACTTAAATACAAAAAACAGTTAAAGAAAAAAATACTTTTTATACAATTAGTAATAAGAAATATTTCAAATAAAATTAAATAAAAAGAAATAGTATCAAAAAAATAATAGATAAGTTTAAAAACAAAGTCTGTTGCAATTTTAATAAAGCAGTTACAGAAAAAAGAACAAAAATTTAAAAAATATTAGTTGTGAAGAATTGTTACTTAATAAATAATACATTAATTTTATTATAAACTTTACAAATTGTTTTTAAAAGTTGTATATTTTTTAAAAGATATTAAATTTAATAAAAATCACTTTATATATACAATAGTATAATTTTGTTAATTATATATTTGTTTAAAACTATTAAAAAAACTCATGGATCAATAGTGCAGTGGTTAGCACTTCTGGGTTTCAATTACAAAGTTATGAGTTCAAGTTTAGAGAGTAACAAAAACTCTGTTAGGATCATAATTGAAAAAGATCTGCAAAGGATTTCTATTTAAAAAAAAGCAAGAACAAGATTTATATGAAAAAGAATACAGTAACTAGTATAATTATAAAGTCAGGAACAACCAAATAAGACATAATCCATTAACAAATAATTAGAGATGTTATAGTTCAGCAAGGACTACAGTCTGACTGAGTCCTTTAAACTGGTCCAAACGGTTTTTGGTCCATAAATTAAAACTGGTTAAATAAAATCAGTCCAAGTATAGTAAACTATTTTAATACTAAGTACGCATTAATATAATATACCAATACTTAAATCTCTTATAATATACAAAGTACATGATCTCACATGAAACTTCAGACTTTAAAAACCGGTTAGTAAAGAAATAGGTCATAGGTTTAAAATCAACAGATGTATTTCTCTAGCATGTTATTTAAAAATAAAATGCCAATCAAGTAACTCATTAGTCTTGAAACTTGGTACTGTATATATGTATTTTATAGAAAGTTAGAATAACTAATTAAGGCTATTCTTAACTTTTTCGATCATTCTGTCCTTGGAAGATGTTTTATTTTCCTTTATCATCCATTTTTGGAGTAATACAAGATACAATCTTTTAAGCCATAACAAGGATCAAGTATCTAGAGATTTTACTGCGAACCAGGTTTTTTTTTTTTATATTCAGCTATAATGATTTAATTATATTTGGTAAAATATTGTTATTTTTAATTCTGCGATTTTCTGTATTTTATTATACTTTAACAATTGCATCAAGTTTGTAATTGAATTAGAAAAAACAATCAAAAAAAAAAAAAATGGAACATTTTAGCACCAATTGAATTTTAGTAGCATTTTAATGTAAAAACCAGTTTTTAAAGAATGTTTCATAGCATTAGGGTTCAGTGAAAAAAAGCTAGTTTTTTTTTTTTAAAGCAAATTTAAAGTGAACTATACATAAATAGCATGAATAGAATAAAGTTGAATTCTAATCGAAATGACTTACCAGAATTGGGTTTGTGCAAAACCTTAATAACATTATGTTTACAAAATATACAGGTTTTTGATATGTAATTGCAATTACCGAAAATGGTTATTATGTATTACAAAGCTAAATTAAATTTTTACAACTTGAATAATATGCGTATTTTCGAAATTAAACTATAGATGTAAATTTAAGTACTGTCCCGATTTGATCTTTCATATGAATAATCGCAAAATATAATAACTACTAGTATTAATTATAAACAAAAAAAGCTTATCCATAAAGTAAAAATCTTGAAACATCACTATTTCAAGATTTGATCAAAATTTAGAATTTCTTTGTACCAATCATACAATCTTTTTTATTTAAATAAAAGCATGAATAAAACCAAAGATTAGATAGAATAATCAACAATATCATGTGTTTGTTTTGCATAAAGACATTACTATTACTAAATTATTTGTTGCATTTCATATACACATAACTTTCAATATAACAAATTCTTGTTACAATAGAGAATAAGTAAAATCTTGATATAACAGATCAAGGTTTAGATTGCACTATAATAAATTCTACTTAATACTATGAACATTATAAACTAATAATATTGTGGATATTAAGTTCTTCCAAAAATAGTCATATCGAAAGTTACTGTATATACATTTATCTTATAATATTTGTGGTTAAATATTTGCAACTCGAATTCCTCATTTAAGCAATTAGTCTTGATAAAAAAAAAGACCTTTGTAGAAAAAAACTTGTTTCAGAACACCATCTGATCCAACTTGCAAATATTATAAAATCTTATCAAAAAATAATAAAAATCAGTGATATATAGTGCAAGTTAGTAACCAGAATCTCACCAATCGTGGCATCATATTAAAGTTTTTTTAAAACTTTATTGACTACATTTGCACAAATTAATTAACCAATTCGAGATCTTTAACACTTGATTATAAAAATAATAAAATTAAGGAACGGCCAGATATGTTAGTAAAAAAAAAATTCATGACTATAAATAAAAATCATTGAGATAAAACAGTCTGAAAAAATATGCATTAGTCATGGTTAATGTCCAAAAGAAGGAATGATAAAAAATCACTTATCATAATAAAGTCAGCCCCAACTGAAAATTAAACTTTATAAAAAAACGGTTATATTGTTACTGTCTTTCTTGTCAAAAAAAAAAAAAAAAATGGAAAGCAATAACTTTACTGTTCTTGATCCTGAAGACAATATTGATGAACTATACAAAAATTATACTTCAGACTCTGATAATCAAGTCATTCAAGAAACTAGTACTAGTTTGTCTTTATCATCTTAAAACCATTACAGAAAAAAAAGAAAACTTAGTTCAACAATTTGGCCTCATTTTAACACCAACATGACTGCTCGCCCCAGAGTACCTGTATGCCGACAGTGTAATGCTGTTTTTTCAAAAACTACAGGAGTTTCAACTTTAAGAAGACATCTTAATAAACATAAAATTAATGCACCAGCAAGACGTCAAACCATTCTTCAATTTCCCAGAACTGATCTGTATAATGATAAAGAACAAAAAGAGAGAGACAACAAATTAATTACCTGGATTATTACTGATCAACAACCCTTTACTGTTGTTGAAAATCAGTACTTTAATGAATTTATTAACTTCATCAATCTTTGATATAGAATGCCAACAAGACAAGCTACAAAAATAATGATAATGAATGAATTCGAAAGTTGGCGAAGCCGAATAGTTAATGATATCATAAAAATCCCTGAAAAGATTTCTTTAACTGCTGATATGTGAACATCTCGAAACTTTGAAGCTTTTCTTAATGCAACAGTTCACTATATTGATAATAATTGGAAGATGTGTCACTTTTTGTTAGATATTATTCTTTTTAATGAGAGACATACAGGTATAAATATGACAGATACTATTAATACTCTTCTTGCTAGTTTTAACATTCAAGATAAAACTTTGGTGCTTACTACTGATAATGAATCTGCAATGATTGTTTGTGGAAAGTTAATTGCACAAGAACTACAAGTTGAGTTTGATAATATCAGATTTTCACACTATTGCTGTGCAGTGCATATACTCAACTTGGCTGCAAAAAAAGGATTAGAAATGGTCGATTCTTCAGTAGTGAAAGTTAGAAACTTAATGTCAAAAATTAGAGTATCCACTTGTTTTTGTAATGATTTACGTGGATTATGCAAACTTAAAGGAATTTCATTTCTTAAACCTGAGTTGGATATTGATATAAGATAGAATAGTACATATTATATGTTACAAAAAATGCAAAAAATAGAAGCAGCTCTTAACTTACTTGCAGTAGACCATCTATCAATTCGTTTGTTATATCCTAATATTAATGAGCAGCAAAACTTAAAAGTAAGTAAAACTTTAAATTTTAAAAATAATTTTTATACTTACTAGAGATATATTTCGTTGCATCACATTATTTCTCAAAACTACTTATGCAATCCTTAAAAGATCCTAATTTATAACTAGTTCTGATGATTTTCCATGATGATTTATCGCAGAAAATTGTCGACTCTGCTTATAACCAAACCAAATCTAACTTAATACCAACTTTAATTCTTAGGATATAATTATCTTGTTAAAGCCAATTGAAACTGCAATGAAATTGCTTTTAGCAACATCATATCCAACTATAGGAGATATCCGTTTAGTGTTCTTAGGTATTTAAGACCATTTAAATACGTATATGAAACAAAGTAAATTTTCTCAAAAAACTGCTGCCTCATCAATCTATTAAAAAATAGAGGAATACTGGGTTATAATGAACAAATCTTTTATTGTATCCACTGTTCTTGATCCTTGTGCCAAATTAAAATTTTTTGATAAAACAGAAGCTATTAGTGCTAAGAAAAAAGTTCAAGAAATTATGAACCAATATATAAATGATTATCAACAAACTTCACCTGAACCAAATAATACTGCAGAAAATTTAATCAAAACTGCCTGAAAGTTTTTTTGAAAGTTGTGCAACAAATTAGAAACCGAAGAATCTTCAGTCTCTAATTATTTAGATGACAAAGCTCTTGAAGAACCATCAGTCACTAATGAATTGGATCGTTATGTTGTATTAGAAACAGTTGAAGAAGATACAATCCCATTGGACTGGTAGAAAGCAAACAAAAAATCTTACCCAATTCTTTCAAAAATCGCATGTGATTATCTAAGTATCCAAGCCATAAGTATCACTTGTGAACAAGCCTTTTCAATAACTAGTAATGTGATCTCAAGAACCCGTAATCACCTTCATTCTGAAATAGCAAGAGCATGTTTCTGTGTTAAAAGCTGGATTACTAACAAGATAGGTAAATAGCAATTACATAGGTATATACCTAGTATGCATTAAATGTGAAAATAATTGATCTAATAGACTTTACACAAGTAATTTTGAAATTTATATAATTGAAAGGTGTTATAAGATTTTGCTGTATTGGTGATATTGGTTTGTTTCATTTTAAATAATTTTACAAATTAAACACAAACTTTATATACAAATAGATGTACGTACCATACATATCTTCAGCACAATCAGATTTAAAAACATTCTTGTATAAGTTCTGCTTAAAAAAAAAAAAGAAAAAAAAGAAAAAAAAAAAATAGTTAAAAACTTTCTTATCTAAGTTCTGTTTCTTCAAAGAAAACAAATAATAAAGCATTTTGTCTAATCTAGATCTTTAATAAAAAAAAAAAAAAGCATTCTTTCCCAAGCCCAATATGTGTTCATAAATCCTGCATTTTTATTGGTTGTAGGTTACTGGTCTAAAGTCTGGTCTTAGACCGAACCTAATTAGACTGATTTGAAAACCGGTTTATTAATATTGGTTCAGTTCTCGGTCTGCTGCCTGAACCTAGTCTTTTGAACCAAGACCAGACTGGGACGGACCGTAACATCTCTACTTGCAGTACAGAAAGTTTAAATAGACAATGCTTCTAGTTGGATTGCAGATATAACAGCTAGTATAGAACTATTGGCAAACTATTTAATTAAATACCAAAAGTGTATATGTGATTAGTTGTATTCTCTAATATAAGAAGACTCCTTTGAGGCCTTGGCCATGAGTTCCTATATTCTAACTACTGAATAAAAAGCTTTAGTCTTAAAGAGGCTAGTTTAATAAAAATAAAAAAATAAAAAAATAAAAATTAAAACCTTAGAATAAACTACTTAAATAGGCAACCAAAAGTATAACTAGTTGTACTCTCATCTCTGTATAAAATAGTTATAATAACTAATCCTATAAAAAGTCAATAAAGTTTTGTCATAAAGTATAACCTTTAACAAAAAAAAAACATTAATAAACAATATAATATAAACTAGTTAACAAAATTAAACAAAGCAACAAAACAGCTTTCTGTACTTTTATCTTATTCTCACCTTTGTTGTTGACTAAGTCAACAACTAAAACTAGTAATAATAAAAATAACAATAAGTTCAAAGATAGACATCCTAAATAGCATACATGAATGCTATATATTCAAGAATCTATAAACAAACAAAACAACAAGAAAAAGCATAAAACTAACAACAAACTTGTCATTCTTATACAAACAAGCAATGAAAAAGATACTAACAAAAAAAATTTAAAAAAAAAAGAAAATTTTAGCATACTTCTAAAAATCTTAGTTATGACATCATTATGCACAACAATAATAAAATATTTGGTTTTAGATCTGCAGCAACTTATAATTTTAAATTTTCTTTACTATAATCAAACTAATTGAGACCTAATTTAAAATCCAAATACTACAAATGCTGTTCTTTTATTGTCAATGCAAATTAAAAAAACAAACAACCTAACCTTATTTGATCTAGTGCTCTAGTTCAATTTTTCTGCTAGCACTATAATAGAACAATAATCTAATATAAAAATAAAGTATACATCAACAAACATAAAGAATAACAACAATAAAAAAACTTGGTTAACTAATATAACATATAAGGAACAGCTACAAAAAAAGTATTATATAGTTAAGTATTAGTTAAAAACCTTTTAGAGAGAACTAAAAGAACCCCAAATTCTTCAAAATTGATAAAAAATAAAAATAAAAAAAAAACATATATAGGCAGCCTTAGACAAAATTAGACAAAAATAACTAAATCACTTTAATGCAACAATTTAAATATAACAAAAAACTAAGAATATACTAAGTTTATTTTAAAACTTAAAAGAGTTAATTAAATATAAGCTGTTAACAAAACCAATTTATATTTCAACAACAATAAAACTAAAATTTTTTTACAAAGACATAGCCTTCTTTAGAAGCTTTACTTGAGTTCTAGTAATTAAATCATAACACAAAAATAAATTTAACAGTCTATTTTCTGATGCTTTGAATATATACAAAAAATAGCATGATGTGCTAGCCACTAACAAGAAAAACTGTAATCAAATTTTTGAATTATTATGTACAAAGTTGGTACTAGATTATCTGATTAATCTGAATTTCAATCTTATAAGTGCTTGGAAAATTACAAAATATATTTTCTATCTAATAAGCTTTGCAAAAATTTTACAGAATCTAAACTTTGAAACAACTAAAAAGGCAGTCTTAAAACTAATAACTGAAATACTAATTTTTTTGCCTAATAGATCAAAACTTATTTTTGATTACTTGTCTCAAGCTATCTCTTTTAACTTACTTATTACAAAGTAATAGATTCTTATACCAGTAGTTAAAACACTACAGTTAATATTTTTCTTTAATAAGCTGCTAGATACATATATTGCAAACAACTAAGAAGTCTTACCAGTCTTAAATAAATATTTAAAAAATGAAATACAACATTTCTTTTCTATTGTAAACAGAGCTAAGCTAAAAAATCTAACTTACTATAAAGAAACCTTACAAAAATATTATATTTTTTAGCAAATTCTAGCTAAATACTTTGATTATTAGCACCAAAACATCCTAAGCTCTCTACTTCACAGGATTTGATATTCAAATTAAGAGAAAATTTTCTTTTCTATTTGTGAGTTAAGAAGATTTTAAAAAACATATTAGATTACTATACATGGACTATTTTTTTATTAAACTACCTAATAACTATATTATTTCTTGAAGATAACTATTCTTAAATCTAGCAAATCTAAAAATTTTTAACTTTGTATTTTTTTACAAAGCACAAAAAAAGTAAATGCTTTTATAAAGAGTATTTTACAAATTTACAATATTTTAATACTATTGCACAAGTATCTGCAACTTTAATTATACAGATCTTCTAGATTTGTTTGAGAATGCCAAATTAGTTATTCCAGTTAATTTGACCTTAACAATATTAACACTAAGAAGCTAAGCATTGTAGTCAAAGCATTATAAGAGCACTACTATTTTTATATTATACTTTAGTTTTGAATTCAGATAAAAAAAAAAGCAACTAGAAATTGAATTAACTTTGCTCAAACTACTATTAACAATTAAACAACTTCAACTAGCTCTTGTACAAAAACAGATTACTGATATTCTCAGTATTGTAATAGAATTTATTTTTTTTCCTATATTAGTATATATTTATTTTTAGCTCTATATTATATTTTATAATTT